GTTGTAAAATTTTGAAAGTGGATATTGACTCAGACCAAGGCTAATTTTTTTTATTGATTTAATCCAATTTATTAATTTGCATTATTTTTAGTTAGAATTGATTTCAACACATTCAAAACCCCCTTTTAGTTAATTTAGCATAAAAGATAGACTAAACACTATTCGTAGGATTGACCCTTACTTCCACTTTAATTTGGAGTGCCTACGACAGCACGCACCAATTCTCCCTCAAATTCCCATCCACTGCTAATTCTCCAAACTATTCATTCAAATCCTTGAAGTCCCAACTCAATCCCGAACTACACCAGTCACCACCTCATCGCTAGCCCTTTCCCTTTTTTTTTGGTGGAGAAGTCATTTGACAAAATTACTCCTTGAAATAAACTTAAGGCATGTAAAGGCGCAGATTGAATTATTTTGTGGTAATAATGATTTTAACAAAAATATTTTGCAGAAAATTAAAGGATCATAACACAAAGATATGTTTCGCCCCAAATAGGCCTGGATGTTCAATCTTTCAACCTAATTACCAGTTGAGCATCTGCAACAGATTAGCTCAAAATCCACTAAGAAGAACCAAGAAATCGTCACAATAAATGTACGAAGAAACCATATGTTTCTTCAATTTCTCTCTAGCCTCTTTTCAGAAAAGTAATCACACAGATCAACCTTAACAATGAAAATACTCAACTCTCATTTTACATCACAAGATTGAAGAAAACCACTACGATCGATTTTAGATTTTATAGAGATAAAAACGAAACCCTAACTTCACTCAGAGAAAGGGAAAGGACAGAAAGAGAGTCTCACGAAGCGTCTAGAAGAGTGAGGGCCAAAACCAAGTTAAATATCTGGTCAACACAAGAGTCGCAGTCCAAGGGATGAGGATCAGCCACGTGTACAGCTGAGACTTAACCCATAAGAGGCATAAAATCGCATTTCCAAAAGACATTTCTTGTAAATGATTTCAAACACGAAAATTGATCAGCCTAATTAAAACAAAAACGGTCCAAGTAAAAGTGGGTTAAGAATTGTGAGGCAGCCCAATTCCAATTTAACAAGGCAAATTTCATTGAATGCATAAAATTAACAGCAATTTTAGATGTTTTTCATTAAAACCGACCATTTGTGCCAAAAATGAAAAGGTTTGGGACCGTTTGCATCATAATTGAAACATTTGGACCAAAAAAGCAATACATGGACAAAGGTTAACACCATTTGTACTAATTTCCATTTTTAATAAGTTACTGTTTGACCCTTTTTAAAACAAAATATTCATTTTCATTTTAAACTACACATTCATACAATAAAATATACTAATTAAAACAAAACATCCTTATGTTTCAATATTATTGGGAAAATGTTCCTACATTTCATTTTTGACATTTGCACTCATATTTTCACGTTTCATTGTGGAAAATGTCATTTTCATCCAATTTTTCAATAAAAAAAATGCAAAATAACAAATATACCCTCTTATTTAAATAAAACAAAAAATAGAAAAGAAAAATTAAAAAACTCCCAAACAGTTTTTTTTAAAAGTGCAAATGAGTTTAAATAAATTATTTAAAAGAGTAATTAGTACAAAATGTCTCACACCTTTCAATATTATTGTGCAAAACGTTCATACATTTCATTTTTTAACATTTTCA